TGTTTGGACATTTTTGTACTTGGACATAAATTATAATATATAAGAGGTGTGTGGGGTCTTGAGGGGTTTAATTCCACATGATTTTTATGAATTGAAAGAGAGAAAGGCTAAGGCTTTTGAAAACTTAGCTTGGGGTGTGGAGAAGAAACTCTAGGTTTTTTGAATTGTGCTTGTGTTTGGCTTTGTTTCTTGCCGATTTTACTCTTCCCCCAAATTTTCCTGCATCAGTGAGGACCCTCTCAGACATCACGAACCAGCTAAAAACTTGGATTTTGGGGGGATGGCAATTATCCATTGAGGGAAACAGGCAAGAGGGGACTATGGGAGAGACAAAAGAAGTTTGGCATAAAAGGAGGACATTGACTTATCATATGGTGTATGCATCCAAATGATAGTATCAATAATGGGGAGGTACGTGGCTTTTAGGGTGGTAAGAAGACATTGGAATGAGAGTTAGTGGTTAGGCAAGGTCCTCTAAAGTATGGGTACCACATCCTTTCCTCTCCAAAGAGTTCAAAGAAATCCGCAATCCAAGCATCCTTGTCCTTGGCCAATAGGAAAAGATTCTTGAAGCTTTCCCACACAATAGACTTCGCAATCCACAGGTCCGTCGAAAATTTCACTCTAGTGCTTGACCTCACTCTATATCGAATATTGGACCGAAAATGGTCCAAGGAGGAAAGCAGTGAACGCCACATCCCAGAAGATCTACTGTTTGGGGGTGCCCTTGGCTGCCAGGATCAAGGTTATATATGATATTTTTGCCAAAGTACTTGCTGCTATTGGTGTTTGTACTGGGTGGCAAAACTCCAACACCATTTCCCAAGCAAGGGTTTGCTGCCTCAAAGGAGACAATGGATGATTAGATCACCTGTTTCGTAGGTAGACAAACCTTGTGCTATTGAACCCTGAAATCCACCATCAGGTTAAATGATGCCATGTAAATCTGAACGCCCCTCAGTTATTCTCACTATGCCCCCTTTCTGTAACTTAGCTTGCTGGATTAAACCCCAAAAATCAGTGCAATTCTGAATTATTTATCAAAAAAAGAACCATTAAAATCCAGGTAACTATAGGACGATGCCTATTTCGACACCCACATGAAACAATCATGGAGGATTTGGATCCCCTTGTGATTTTACCTATCATGAATAGAAACCAAGATTTGAAAAAACAAATCGGCGACCCAGATTGGCCTCTGCAAAAATCGTGTCAGATCGGTGATCTGAATTGGAAAATCAAGCCGATCGGCAGGTTTTGGCCCCAAAAAAATTCAAAGATCTTTAAAATCTTTTTTTTGGGGTGAATAATTTCGATGATAATCAACAGCTAAATTTCATCCAAAATCCACTGAAAATGATACTTCTCGAATGATAGCAACACATCTTAATCAAACTCTGTTTCCAATCAAAGTGATACTTGAGAAATGTTTCAGCCAGTGATTGAAAAGTCGGCGAGTCAAATCGGACTCGTCCGATTCGACTCGGGAACAGGCAGACCCGTGCCGGTTCCAGTGAAATATCGAAAGTTGCCCGGTTCTAGAGAAGAACCGGCGATTCCATTCCGTAAATCGCCATGTGACGTCATGAATCTCCCGATTCTTCGATTCATGACGTCATGGCCCGCCGATTCTTCAATGGGCATTTTTGTAAATGTTAAAAAGTCATGGACCTTAAGGTCCGCACACCTCG